TGAGAATATTTCATATTAATTTATATTTTCTTAAGCAAGCGGGCGCATGAACTAACAGGCTGAGTCAGGTCTGACTTGAGCTTGACTTGTTAGCTCATAGCTTACGAACCACTTATCGTGTCGAGCCTAAGGAAGCTCGCAAGCTGACTTGCTCACCTACACATTTACTTGAATCTATTGTTTCCCCATAATTAGCTACGACCCTTGGCAAGTTTAGTATTGGATGCCTTTAATTCAAGAGGATATCACTTTCATGAATCATAATGCTACCGGTACCCCAATAGCTTTGAACCTCTTAACTGCTACCTTTTGTTAGCTTCTATGATAATTTAGACACTCACCAACAATCTTAATTTTAACATAACTCAAACCAAACCAAAATTTAACTAAATTTAACCTAAACTTAGTAGATTGATTGTTATGTCTTATGTTAAATGGGTTAATGTTGACTTCATTTTTTTAATCAACTTATTTTTTCTAGTATACCCCCATCTAGATATAGGACTCTTTCCTAGAACCCTTAAGTGGTTGAGTTAGCCCAAACTGGTATGGTGGGCATAGGTTTGGTGTGGTCGGTCTTTGGTTTAGCTTGGGTGCACCTTGGTTGTTTTATTTGGGTTTGTGTTTGGATTTACTTAAACTGAAATCAACACAAATTTAAATTTAATTAAACAAACTTAAATTTAAAACTTAAATTTGACATAAATTAAAGGTTAATTTTAAAATGGACCTAAATTGAAAATAAAATGGAGTTAAACATAAATTTAAAACTTAAACCCAATTCAAACTAAAATTCAGCTCAAAATTTTTTATTTGATTAAGTTTTAAATTGAGCCAAAATTTAATATAAATCTATTTCAAGACAAACATAAAATTTAACTAAATTTAAATTAATCCAAACATGGAATTATGCATATATCACAACACAATTCTAAGATATAAATTAAACCCAATTCAAATCATCCAAGCACTAGAAGGAAAAAATGCTAAAACCGATGACTTTTTTATATGTCAGAAATATTATTCTAATTCCGGATGGTTTGACTATGATTTTTTATCTTGATTATTTGCGACTACATAACTACAACATAAACTGTCGTTTATCAACAATATTTTTTTTCTAGCTTTTTCTAATTATAACCGACGAAATAACCAGACGATTATAAGAAAATATTAATTGACTGCTATAATGTGTCGGTTATCTTCGAACCAGCCAACTGACAGGAACCAACACATTTTATTATTAACTGACAGGAAAGGTCGTTGGTAATACTAATAACCGATGCAATTAAAGCTGTTGACAGGCCGTTGATAGGTCGTTGAAACTAATCCTATATCCCGCCTGATATCACATCCCTCCCGGTCATGCTCTAAATTCTCTCGCAACCCTAGTATTCTCTACTCGAAACACTCACCTCTCTTTGAAAACCTCTGCCTAAAGCCCTCATCTTCTCCCCAAAACCATCACCTTTGTCCCCAAAACCATCATCTTTGTCGGAATAGGAGCCAGCTGGGAATGGAACAGCGGGAAAGCGACTTACAGGTACCGAAAACTCCCATTTGTCTCCTTCTGCTCTTCTGCTACGTGAAACGACCGAGTAAGGTAAGTTGTTATTTTCATTTGCTTTGAAGAATGTGTTTAGGTCTTAGGGCTTAGCAACTAGAATGTTTGCTAGATATTTTCCTATTTCAGTTGGATTACATCTAGTCCTGTGTGTTTAGCTTGAACATTGTTAATCCCTCGAAGATTGATTTAAATTTTGTCTTGGATTAAAATCAAATTGAAATAAACAAGCTTAGATGCGAGCCAAACTTTTCGATCAATTTTTTTCAAGCCGACTTTGAGTCGACCCCAGCTCAGCTCGAAATCAGATCGTTAACAACATATGACTATGAATTTAGCGAATTTAGCTCGAAGATCGTTAATCGCTCAAAAAATTGATTCAAATTATGGATCAGATCAAAATAAACGAGCCGAGCTACAAGTCAATATTTTGGATCCAATTTTTTTGAGCCGATTTTTAGCTACCTCAGCTCGACTCAAAATCAGATCGTTAACAACCCTAATTTCATCACGAATCGGCTTTAAACATATATGTTTTTGCTTTATTTATGGATGGTATTACTATACATATACAGGAGGATGCACCTTAATGTATGTTTTTTTTGGTGATATTGTTCTTGCGGAAAAGACTAGAGAAAGAGTTTAGGAAAAACTTAAATTATGGAGGTTGATATTAGTAGAGTCTAAAGTCCTTCATTAAGTCCTTCATTTGAGTCAATCTAGAAATGAATACTTGAAATGTAATTTTAGCAGTAGTAGCTCTAGTGGCAGAGTTGTAACTATAGGTGATCAAATCATTTAAAATATGTGAATCCTCTAGATATCTCGTGCCTCTAGTTTAAAGTGATGGTGATATGGATGGGGATGTGATTAATTAATAAATTTCAAGTTGTTTGGTTAGAACCAATGGCTTGAAGTCGGATCGTTTAACATTTTAGTATGTTAGTTATGTCAAACATCATTAAATTATTAAACATTGACACATAATTGATTAAAATGTCTCCTTCTAATAGTGTTTGCCACTGTAGTTACACTAGACTACTTACAGATTATATATTGTCTCCAAGTGAAAAGTCAATTACAAACACCATACGGATCACTGGCATTTTGTTTCATATTTTGTCTGATGTGACATTTGTATGGATGATAATATATTTCTTTGTACACCTTTGATGTTGTTTATGAGGTTGTTGAGGCTTCTCAAGCGTGTCAAAGTCTGCAATTAATATTAGCACGTGCACTTTATAAACAAAATCACACGCATTTTTAACTTGTGTCTTCTGATAATTGTATCCACTTGAGCATGTATCTTATGAGGCTTCTGACTTTTTAAACTTATGCCTTCTAGGAGCTTGAAATGTGTTCGTACCTTCTGAGGTCTTTGATGTACGTGTGATTTGTAAGACTTATAGCCTCCTGAGGTCTTCTATGTACATGTGCCTTCTGAGGTCTTTGATAGACATGTGTCTTCTAAGGCTTGTAGTCCTCTGAGATCTTTTAGTGGAAACTCTTTTAATCACTTGCTCTCTTGGAGTCTTTCTAGTGATGATCATTTCCACTACTATCTTTCCATCGAGACTTGCCTCTTCTTAGACTTGTATTCTAGGGGCATTATAGCTTCCCATCGAATCTTTGCCTCTTGGGTTTTCCTTCCCATTGAATCTTGCCGCGTGGGCTTGATTTCCAGGGGCATGTAACTTCTCATCGAGCTTTGCCTCTTGGGCTGAACTTCTAGGGGTATCATATTTTCCAATTGAGTCTATCTCATGGGCTCGACTTCTAGGAACATGGTAGTTTTCATCGAATCTTACCTCTTGGGCTCAACTTCCAGGGGTACCATATTTTCCCATCGATTTTTGCCTCTTGTGCTTGACTTACAACCATTGAGAATGTTTGACTTTTCTTAGACTATTAGTTGAAGCATGTCTATTTGACGATTGTAGCCTATGTTGGAACATTGTTGAAAGGAGAATCCATTTAGGATGTAAGATCCGTCTTGGGTTGTATAGCCAAAGATGCTTGATGACATTAAATCGTAACAAATAAGTTCATATGAGATCCATTGATGATGGTTGTCCTATTCTAGGTTGTTGGTCAAAACTTTTATATGACAACTGTAACCTATAATGACAACCGTAACCTATTATAGAAAAGGTCGAAGGAAATCCACCAAGAAATTTTGACCTATCCAAGGCTATTAATTGAAGCTTCTTCTTGACGACTGTAGCATGTGATAGAAAAGGTCAAATCGAGTCTCCCTAAAATCGATTAAGCCCAGAGTAAGGTGTTAGAGATGTTTTGTATTTCTCGAGACTAAGGAGTAGGTCGTAATGGACTGCATGTTTACTTGAAAATATGATTGTAGTTATACTAAAAAAATAATGTTTGTCAACTCATTAGTTGTTGCTTATGAATTTTTCACCCGTCAAAGTGGGTGTTTTCCACACAAACTTTTAAAGCAGCCTATGCATCGAGCCTTAAAGAGATCAGATGAGGGGGCACTGAGCAAGCGTTGATTGCAATGAAGATTGCTCCAAGTTCAGGAGTGGTTTTCAAATACATGTCTAAACGAAATGTGGGATGACAACCCTACCACAATCATGTCGATGATGTTAACATGAATGATCTTTCAAGATGCAAAAGAGATTCCTTCACCAGTTGGATGAACAATGTTTTGTTTGCCACAGAAGGCGTCAATTAGATGTGTGCTAGAAAATTCTTTACACTAGAGTAGCATATTATCATTTTTGGAGTTACAAAGATTCATCATACTCAAAAGAGAGAGACAGTTAATGACACCAAATTTTTTATGTGAATCCTATAAAAAGAAAAAAACTAAGGGTCTGACCCAACTGTAAAAATCAATTATAACTTGATGATTATAACAGTTGCATCTCCCATAGAAAGGAAAGGGTCATAAGTTACAGCATTGACATGAGAATAAATTTGTTGTCAGAGGTTAGATTCGACGTCGGTCAGTGACGGTCAACAACAAATGACGTCAAACAATAGTTATCTACTGTCGTCCACAGGAGTGGTGCAAAACTGACTCCTTTATTATAAAAGCACAAATAATATTAATTTAAACTAACATTATAATTAGAATTAATAATTAAGAGACATAATAAAAAATCTTCTAATTTATAATATAAAATATATTTTTAAATGATTTTATTCTCTTAAATATAAAGCCATGAAATTTTATTATAATTTAAATCAAGCCAGCCTTGACTGGCTTGAACTTGGCTTTATAGCTCATTGCACTCATAGCTCATTGAACTCAATTAACGAGCCATTATTGAGCCGAGCTCAATCAGGCTCACAAGCCAGCTTGACTTATTTGGACCCCTAGGTTCATCCCTCCCGAACAAAACTACCATTTTCGAAGACGGCAAAATATTGAATAATAAAAATGCGAGTTGAAAAAACTAACAAATAATCGAAGGCAAACAAACATTTAACCCCAAAAGAACTGACAAAACGATGATAAAGTCCAGCATAGAAAAACTACAAAAAAGCAAACAAATAAACCGCATAAATTCCGAGCCGTTACAAAACCATAGTAGTAATGAAGAGCCTAACATAACCGAGCTCATCCATTCAAAACAATAGTTTGATCAAAACATAACCAGTAAAAATAAAACGCTAGAACTGCAACACAGCACATCTGTCGAACCCAAACTTGAATATAAGAGAACCCTTTAGTCAACCTCCTCAATCTTAGGGCCAGCGCCACTTCCACCTGGAGCAGGACCATCTTCATCCATACCAGCAGGCACTCCCTCACCTCCCTGATACATCTTGGCAATTATAGGATTACAGATGCCCTCCAATTCCTTCATCTTATCATCAAACTCATCAGCCTCAGCTAGCTGATTATTATCAAGCCAATGTATCGCCTGATCGATGGCATCCTCGATCTTCTTCTTATCAGCAGCATTCAGCTTCGAGGCAATCTTTTCATCCCTAATGGTGTTCCTCATGTTATAGGCATAGTTCTCCAATGTGTTCTTCGCCTCCACCTTCTTCTTATGCTCTTCATCTTCAGACTTGTACTTCTCAGCTTCCTGCACCATTTTCTCAATTTCATCTTTGCTAAGCCTTCCCTTGTCATTTGTGATGGTGATTTTGTTCTTTTGCCCAGTCGTCTTATCCTCAGCGGAGACATTCAGGATACCATTGGCATCGATATCAAAGCAAACCGTAATCTGAGGCACTCCCCGTGGGGCTGGCGGAATGCCGGAGAGCTCAAACTTGCCAAGCAAGTTGTTATCCTTGGTCCTCGTCCTCTCACCTTCATAAACCTGGATAAGAACACCCGGCTGGTTGTCGGAGTAGGTAGAGAAGACCTGCTCCTTCTTGGTGGGAATAGTGGTGTTCCTGGGAATCAAGACAGTCATGACACCACCAGCAGTCTCCAAGCCTAGAGAAAGCGGGGTTACGTCCAGCAATAGAAGATCCTGCACCTTCTCATTGCCTTCCCCGCTCAGAATAGCTGCTTGGACTGCAGCACCATAAGCAACAGCCTCATCCGGATTAATGCTCTTGCAGAGCTCCTTTCCATTGAAGAAATCTTGAAGCAACTGCTGATCCCTAGGAATTCGGGTGGATCCACAACATCATGGACGGAGCTCTTGTCTATCTTGGCATCGCGGAGGCACTTCTCCACAGGCTCCATACACTTTCTGAATAGATCCATGTTGAGCTCCTCGAATCTAGCACGAGTGATTGTAGAATAGAAATCGATTCCTTCAAAGAGAGAATCAATCTCAATGGTCGTCTGTGCAGTTGATGATAAAGTCCGCTTTGCTCTCTCGCAAGAGGTTCTCAAGCGTCTAAGAGCCCTTGGATTTCCACTGATATCCTTTTTGTGTTTCCTCTTGAACTCTTGAACAAAGTGGCTGACCAACCTGTTATCAAAATCTTCACCTCCAAGATGAGTGTCACCGGCCGTGGCCTTGACCTCAAAGATGCCTTCTTCGATGGTGAGAAGAGAGACATCAAAGGTTCCGCCACCAAGATCGAAAATAAGAACATTCTTCTCGCCCACGCTAGAGGACTTTTTATCGAGACCATAGGCGATGGCAGCGGCAGTAGGCTCATTGATAATGCGCATGACATTAAGACCAGCGATAACCCCAGCATCCTTGGTGGCTTGGCGCTGTGAATCGTTGAAGTAAGCGGGAACAGTAACAACAGCATTCTTGATGGTGGTGCCAAGGTAGGCTTCAGCAATCTCCCTCATCTTTATCAGAACCATTGAGGAAATCTCCTCTGCAGCGAACTGTTTATCCTCACCTTTGTACTGAACAATAATCATAGGCTTGTCCCCAGGACCAGCCACAACCTTGAATGGCCACATTTTTATATCACTCTGAACAGTAGAATCACTAAATCTTCTTCCAATAAGGCGTTTTGCATCTACAAAATAAAAAATTAAAATATCAATATTATAGCTAAGCAAAAAAATTCAGTCATGAGGATCAACGTAAAAACATAATTTTAAAAAAAAAAAATTAAAAGAAACCAATGAAAACAAAGAAGCTGACAAGCCTACCTTAGAAAAAGCCTAATCTTGATATTACAAACCAAACATTACATAAAAGAAATAAGAAAACAATAGAATAAAGTTATGAGTGTTCGGAGAGCCAGGTATTATGTAAAAAATTTATAACCTAACATCTCATGCAACCCTCAAAAACAAAGTAAAGGAGAACAAAGACCCTTAAAATTAACAAACTAATCATTGCAAGCTATGATAATAATAATTAAGATCAAGGAAAAACACCAAATTCTATAAGCTGGAGACAAACAAATGAATGACAATTGCTATATAGAAGTAAACTACAAGCACAATATAATCACATAAATCGTATCTGGTAACCCACAACGTTTCATCAAGAGGCTAACTTGCATAAAATTAAGTGTAAACAGGAGAAGCAAAATTCAGGAAATAGATTCCTCAAATAGAGTCCAATTGTGTTTATTCATTCTACAAACTTATTTGTTTCAAACTCAGGTCATGTTTGTGGGACGATGCTTTCAACATTATTTATAAACATTAAAATAAATTAATTGTCTTTTATTTGCAATGCTTCCCACAGTACAAAAAAGGTTGAACTTTATAGTTATACAAAGAAGCAGTGAACCGGAATCACATTTTGTGATGGTATACAAGTTGAGAATGTAGTTATAGTTGTGATGATTGGATTTGTGAAAAACAATTCTCACTGATTATTATGTATTAGTGGTTACTAAAGTTTTAAAAGTTAAAGATGCTCATTTTATGATCTATTTTAACTCTATTGACATGCTTATATCATAATTAATCTATAAATTAATCACTCTTTCTAAATATTAATCTGTCATTATAAAATTGATTGATGATTTATTCTTTAGCATAATTGCAGGTAAAATTAAATAGTTAGATTATAACATTTCACACAAAACAATTAGTTTAAAAATAAAAGAACGAGTCCAATGTTGAAAAAATTAAAACTATTTTAGATTGTATTACATTTAATTCTAATATATCGCCATTGATCCAAAATTATACTAACTAAACTCTACTTCACTAATAATCAAATTAAACTGTATATATTACTATTATTGTATGCAAAAGTCAAACTAAAAGATGTGTAGAAAATCTTACAACTTTAACTCAAGAAATCTATTGGTAGAATAGTACACTTAAATTCATAATATTATAATTTAGACCATAATTGAATGCCCAAAACGCACATCATATTTCATGATACTAATAATAAGTAAAGAACCCAACTAGCCAACTTTATGCAAAACAAAATTTATAAATACAAAATGTTAAAGGAAATTAGTAGTAAATCAGTAATGAACGCTACAGCGAAGCATGTTGCAATAACATCAGAAAGAAAAAATATGAGTTCATAATTTAAGATTTAGCTTATTAGCAGACATTTGAAGGAAGGGTAAGAAAAAAAGACCTGTGTTTGAAAATCTCATCCAAGCCCAAGGTTATAGGGGGTAGGAGTTGAAAGTTTATTAAAATACTATTCATAAATCAATATTAATATTTATGCCCCTTATATCTAACATTGGTAACAATAAAAACATTGCATATAATCAATTTGATAAAAATTAAATTTATACCTTAAAAATTTTAAGCAAGTATGAATACATATGTGAAAAATCATCTCAAGTTCCAATTGAACATAAACAGCATATGATTCAACCAAGCCAAGTCCAAACCATAAGATACTCACTCTAACTGAGCTTTATTACAGCCCTAGTAATACCTAATAATTTTTAAGATTGATCTCTTCAGGATCCAGCGATTCTTGAATTAATAGGACTTAAATCCTACTTGCAACCAAAAGGCCCCATAAAATTTATCAGCCAGATTTATCAAAATGAATTTTGAAAATTAAAAATCAGCCGGACTAAAATATGCAAATCGTAGAACCAAAAATCCATGACATATCACCAGATCGATCGAATAAATCACATCAAAAATAAAATATGCCATCCTAATGAAAACAGATCTAATCATGAATACACAACCAACACAGTGGCAATCAAAAAAAAAAGAACACAGATGAAAAGGAAAAAAAATATCAGATCTTAGTGACACCGAGCAGATAGTTGCAGACAGCATCATCCCTAAAACGTTATACCCCCAACAAACCCAAACAACATAAAACTTCGTATGCTAATCTACCCGTATCAGAAAAACTCAGATCTAAGATAGGAGAAAACTCACCGAATACGGTGTTGATAGGATTCATAGCGACCTGATTCTTTGCAGCGTCGCCGATTAGCCGCTCTGTATCTGTAAAGGCTACGTAGGAAGGAGTTGTACGGTTCCCCTGATCGTTTGCGATGATCTCAACACGATCGTGCTGCCATACTCCCACGCACGAATACGTCGTCCCGAGATCGATTCCGATCGCAGGACCCTCGCCTTTTCCTGCCATCTTAGGACCGGAAAAATGAAATGCGAAAAGGAAGATCGAAAAGTGACTAGATTGGAGAAGTAGAAGGAATAGACGTCGGCTTCGTAAAACCCTAGTTTTGAAAATTTTATGTGATGATGGTGGATTACTTATAGCTCTTAGAACGCTGTTTCTCGAATCTTCTGGTTGATGACTGCTGTCTGATATGAAATGGAGGGTCAAATTTGTTCCGAAGATTGTAATAAAATGGCGGTGGGATATCCAGACGAAAAACTGTGCCGTGGGTGGAAAAGTATTTGGGTGGTTTTACATAAATAGGACATAAATATTAGAATTTACATATTCCATATCTAAACTTCCTTATTTACAACTGTGTAAAGTTGTAGGCCCCTGTATTCAAGAAAAAATTATTACATACGGACACCGCATGCAGAGATACATGCGTTGTCCAATCTACATCGCAGATCACGGTGATTAATGGTGAAGATGCAATCAAATTTTTAAAAAAGGTGGGGCACACTGAAATATATCCTCACCGTAGATCACCGTGATTTACGGTATAGATCGGACACTGCATACATATCTACATGCAGTGTTCGTTTGCAAAAATTTTTCGTATTCAAGACCGACAAATTGAGGTCTCCTTAGCCCTAGCTCTAGTTTTCCCTTCATCCTCAAGACCAATAAGCCCCCAACAATATTCACAAAATATTCATTTCGACAAGGCAACCCGAGAAACTTTGAATGAAGACTGATTAAATATGTCAGACTCATTAAATCAATATTGCACAGAGTAAGATGTTTGAAGTTATCTTCTTGTCTCTCCACAAAAATACAAATCGATATAATTTTATGCTGCCCAAAATATAATTAACATTATCTCTGACGCCCAAATTATTTATTTAGCTTGTAATTTAACTTGTCAGTGACTGGAGATCCCTCGTTGAAGAAACCATCGGATTTTTGCTTCAGCACGACATCATCAATGATTTCGATTATTTTGTCCAAAATATTCTCCCTGATCTTCTTATGATCTTGCATTTTGTTCTCTCAACAAAGATTAGTGAATTACGAAGAACGGAAAACAATAGGGACTCAAATAGCTTTTTCTTACTTCACCAAAAATTCGAACTTTCAGGAGGTTACAGTGAGGGTGAGAAGATGACGGTCAGAGTGTCACCAGAGCTTTCAAAAGCTAGCAATTGTGGTTGTTGTGTGTTGGCATTGGCAAGGTGAGGCGGCGGGATAGAGAGCCGCACACATAAATAGAGGAGGCTTGGTTGTGGGGTTCGAGTTGAGTGGGTCTCTGTCGATATTCGGAGGAGTGCATCGGTGGAATTGTAGCTCATGACGGAAGGTGAGGCAAGATATCATTGCTAAATAAGTGCTTTATAGGTAAATAATGAAGTTTGGGTGTGAAATGTGTAAATTCCAATGCTTTCTCTGTTATGCATGTAAATTTCTTTTTTATTTTTTATTTTTAAAGTGTCATGCCCAATCCTATAACAAAAGAATATAAAACTTATAATAACTAAAATTTTAAAAAGTTTTTCGATTAAACATGTGGACTGTGGCATGGAGGGGGGCTCGCTCCCATTTGGATCTCACTAATTTTTACAGTTGTCCCTTTAAAACTCATAACCTAAAAATTAATAAATAATTGATGTGCGCATAAAGAATCACTATCATAGACTGATTATTTAGTGTTTTAGCATTGCATTAAAATTCAACACACACATAGATAATAGAAGTACATGTAGGGACACAAAAAAATTTTACGTTAAAAACCTGAAAAGAAAAAAAAACCATAGAGTCAGCCCAGTTGAAATGATTTGTTATGATCAGTAATTGCACATTCAGGCTTTTGTCCCACAGACAAAAAAAGTTTACACATTTCCTCGAAGTATATTGTTTATATGTCGGTAATTGGGAGCGATCGTAGTTGAGAGTAGTTGTGGTGCAGGGGGGGTATACCTCATTGGAGATGGCTCGCTAAACCATGCTCAAGACAATGTGTTGCTCCGTAGGATGTTTCTTTACTTCGCGGTGTTGGTGGTTACTCCGCACAATGCATTGCTACTCCGCAACATACGTCTTGATTTTGCATGGGCCTTCACTGCAACGAGTAAGTGGTCAACGTAGGTCGGCGAGTGGTGGTTGATGGTAGTCGACGACTACAGGAGTAGGAAGCTGACACGCCTAAAAATTACATAATTTTTTGTATATATTTGATACTCATTTTTAATGATATTGCACTTTAAATAAAGATATTTTGCATTTTTTTGAATTCAGGTACATGAAATAAAATTTATAGGAAAATGTAAGAAAATCGATGCAAAATGGAGTCATGAAGCTGTGGCATCTAAGCGCCAAAGTACAGACGAGATTGTCACTTAGATGCCACAGTTGGGCGCTTAGGCACCAGAAGCGGTTACCCCTTTATTAAATGAATTTGAATGAATTTTGAAGAGGTGTCTGAAGTAACCCTTGGTGATTTTCAAAGCTTTATATATAGGGATGAATTTCAAAGCAAAATAATGTGTGTGTAGAGTCGTTTTAAAGTAGGTTAGACACCCATTAGAGTGGGCAACCACCATAGTAAGAGAATGGAGCATCTTTGTGATTGCAGGAGTTTTGTGAGTCTTGTAAGAGTCTATTGGAGTCAAGGAAGTCAGGGAACTTCATATGATTTCTTGGGGAAGAATTTGAGATAAAGTATTCATATTTTTGTTTATGTTTTGTTTTGTGAACTTGAGTTTTAATATAAATCATGTTTTGTTTTTTTATCTCCATGAATTCTGAGTAGTTTTTCTCTTTTTTTCTTCTCGCAATAAAAAGTAATCATGTGGAGGATTTGATTTGTTTAGAACTTTATTTATTCTAAAATTGTGATGATATTTTCATTGGTTCTTAATTTACTTTACAAACTGATTACTTGTAATATTAAAATTCATTGCGAAACATAATGACCAGAGAGGGCTATGATTTCATCAACTAGTGAGTAACTCTAAAGCTTGGATAGAGGGTATGTCACGTCCAAAGGGGAGTGTAAATAGATAGGGAAATAATTTTTGATGGGTGTAGAATTGATGATTCTAGAGTGACATGCTAGAACCTTTATCAATTTGGTCTTAGTTTAGAACCTGAGTCTCTGGTTAGTCCTATAGAGAAAACACAGTGGGTAATCTGAAAGTGAGATGTTGAAATCCACTCAGCACAACCATACAATTAAGACATTAATTTTGGATTAGTCAATGTTCTTTATGCACTCAAGAGAGGATAAAGAATATGTATGTTCATATTTGTCACAAAACCACATTTTAACCTTTAAACATACAATTCCTACACTTATCATGTTCTCATTGCAAGGTGAAAGGTATTTTTATTATATAAGAATTTTTTAAAATTTAACCATTCTCTTTATAGTAGATTTTTATTTAATTTAGTTAACTTTAATTTTATAATGAATTAGTAAACTTAGGCAAGCCAAACTTTTCAAAAATTCCAAATTAAGACTTGATAGTAGTGACTAGAACTTATTCTAAGGGATTTCTTATCTGGCTTCCCTGTGGGATCGATACTGAGGTTTTTAAAGAAAGTCATATATGGCTTAAAATTAAACATATACTTATGTATCTCCCATAGTGTGTGAAATATAAATCAATTCTAAATTTTATATCATATCTATTTTGCACATTAACCGCCTAAAGAAACCGGGTCAAGTTTTTGGTCAGGATACTAAATAATTTTGTAATTGTGGGTCAAGTCAAGTTTTAGTGTTGTTGTCGGGGATTGAAATTGAAATAATTATACATATATTTACACACACATTCTAGGGGGCATCAAGTTTTTGGTGTCGTTGCTGGGGAAGCTATGGTAAGAACTTTAGGAGAATTATAGTTGAACCTGTAAGACCTACATTTAGAAATCATAGTGTTATTATCTTGTGTGCTTTTGTGTGTTTATTTTAAAGAAAATCTAAAATAACAAGAATATTTTTTATATCTATCATATTAGTTAAGTCTTTAGATTTGTATGCGTAGTTCAGGAGCTGTAAACCTTAGATTATATAACTCAAATCTAGAGAAAACTATTAGGAGGATTATGAAACATAAAAGATTTCATGAATTTAATGTAAAATGATAGATTAACAAAATAATGAAGATTTAGTTTTGCATTCTAATGCTAGCCGTTTCGATAAATTAATCCCCAAGTGGGTAGCAAATTTTAAAGAATATATGCTTACTATTTTAACTTCTTAGGTTGCAGATATTGTGCAAAAGTTAGATCAATATATAGGAAGTTATCCTCAAGGACTCCCAATTATTAAGAAAAATTCATTTGAATAATTGATCGAGGTTAACTCTTTTACAACTATCCATGAGACATATAGTCTTCATTCCAATAATTACAACTCAGGTTGGAAAAATCATTCAAGCTTTAACTAGAATAATAATTTTGGAGGAGAAAACCAATTGTGGGAAGATAATCAATTTAGTGAGACATATAATTGGAAAAATCAAGGCTATTATAAAGATGAACTTTCTTTTCCTCATCAATTTTACTCCAACACACAAAATGAGGAGAAGGAGTTATTTTTAAAAGAAGTTGTTATTCAAATGAAAAGTCAGTTAAAGAGAATAGAGGCCGCAATAGGGAATACAAAAAACTAACTTGAGTAGATTAATAATTCAATTAACATCTCTAGAGATTTTACATAGTGACTATGAGATAAACCTTAAAAAGAATAATGAAGGGCAAGATCAAGCTATCCAATTAAGAAATGTGAGATATTTTGCGGATATAGTCCCGAAGAAGAATGAGTTGAGAAAAGAGGAAAAGCAGTTGGAAAGAATAATGGAAGAAATTCTTAAGAAATTAGAAAAACCTATTTCATAAACCTAAATAAATATAGAAAAACCACTTCCACCATTTCCTCAGCTCCAATGGAAGAATTAGAAGATAACTTGAGACAGAAGAGTTATATAGTAGAATTTGATAAAAAATCTGAATCATATAGAGAGAATCTGATCTAAAATTTAGGACATCTTGAATTATCATATAGAGATCTATTTCTTATAAATTTTAAGTGTGATATTAATATACAAAACTGAGAAAATCAATGGAAGA